TTGGTACAGGATCCCACTACACAGCTCAGACTCATAGTGATCCTCCTGTTTTCAGCTTCCCCAGCACTGGGATTACAGGCGTGCATCACCACACCCAGACTCGGTGGCCAACTCAGCACGCCCAGGGTCAGGGTAGCATGGCATCTTGTACAGAGGATCAAACCCCAGTCCTTGAGCTTTAAGCAGGTGCCTAGTCTGCTGAGCTATCTCACCAGCCCTGATCTATCTTTTTAAATACATGGATGTGGGATATCCTCATCCTGCCTGCTAACCAAGTGACCTAGATAGTAGTCACAAATTTCTTCATTACTAGCACTCTTCTAATGCCCATTTTGTTGGGTAACCATTCACCCAGTCACCTTATTCAATATATGTTTACTTTGGGGTATAGTCAGCATATTCTATACATTCTCTCTGTTCTGAAAAGTCTAAGGAGCTATGAAGAAATGTACAGATTTATGTAGAGATAAGGCATATGATACTAACTTCAATCTAAAGAATTATACAAGTATCAACCCCGTGGTGAAGAAGTAAAATTCAGAACCTAGAGAAATTATCTCCAGCTGAGTCACAGAGAGGTGCCATTAGCTGGATGCTAAAAGAAACAGGGAATTCACATGTTGTATATGACAAGTCGAAGAAGACATGCCTCCCAGGTAATTCATGAAAGTCATATAACAGGAAACATACCTGTGGAAATAACAGATAAGGTACCTTGATCAGAAAATAGAGTTGAGTAGGAAATAATGGAAGATAAAGTCAGCTGGAATTACAGTAAAGGGAAGCTTTGAAATCCTGGCTCAGATGTCCAGGGGCTGTCCTGTCAACAGTATTTGCACTACTGGTCAGTCAGGTAGGAGTTGTGCTTTAGCCTACTATTACATTGGCAGTGGTTTGTGGGACAGACTGTAAATGCAGACATCTACCTAATGTGAAACTAATACAGTATTTCTTCTGACAAGAACATCAGGAAATAGCAAATAAAAATAAAAAAGAGAAACTGTAGGAAATGAGTAAGGGGTCAAAGATTCCTTATAAAAATCATTAAGTGGCATTTCTGTCTTTGAAAACCTTGCCACTGACTGGCTGTCAGTGCTGTTTCTTAAGCAGAAAATCTGCACTCATTTCTATGAGGGTTTTTTTTTTTTGCCTAAGAAATCACTATAGAAAATCATGATATACTTGCCAAATTAAAAAAAAATATATGAATTCAGTGACCTTATCTTCTCTATCCAAGCAGGACAATTCCTTGTTTCTCATAAAAGAGAATCAGGACTTGTTCATCGGCCCCTGCTCATTGCCTCTGTATTTTTGTTCATGCTGCTTTTTTGTCTAAATGCTGACCTCTTTTTTTAATCTCCTATGAGAATCACAGAGAATGCACCTGAGAATCTACTTTTCTGCCCAATTATAAGTTATTATCCTTTGTTATTTAAATCTGTAGTTACAAGCTAGCAACAAATTAGTCTCTTACTATTGAGCTCCAGCTATTTGCCAGATTAAATCCTTAATTGTCAGAGAACAAGGGTGTGCAGCCTACTCTTCTGCCTCCTAATTTCCAACACTCTATAGGTTCATAATAAGCATCAAGTGCAAGCTGTGGATTGATAGATCATCACTTCATGTTGCTCTTTTAAAGGCAGTATCATGTGGGGAGCTAACCCTGCTCATGTTAGAGGTTAATGGTGGTATCCACAGAAAGATGCACACAATTTCTGTAGATTCATTCATGATGTGAAGATCGGGTAGATAGCGGCAAAATAATTCATTGAGGATGAAGCATTACGTAGGTTTGTGACTGCTAGAAAGGATTCTTGGTGCCAACTGAAAGTAACTACAAAACATCATGGGAGTTCCAATCTAACATGAACAAAAGAAGGAAAATGTACATGGTGAAAAATCACTGGCTCAGGGGCCGGGGAGATGGCTCAGGATAATAAGTGCTTCCCTGGCAAGTGCAGGGGCCTGAGTTCAATCCCTGGTTCTGAAAAAAAAAAATCACTGGCTCATGTATGCTGATGAACTTACAGTACCTACAAGGAGCTGAGATTGATTAGAATAATTCTTAAGATGATCACACAAAGTGCCAGAAAGAATCCTCAATGTGCTTTATTAAAGACAGTAATTACATAAAAATAAGTAGTACTCCATAGCTTTCTTTACTGTAAATGAGTTCTTAAAAATTAAATTTCTTTTTCCCTTCCTTCTTTTTGCTTTTCTCCTTTCCTTGTTTAA